GAAAAGCTTCCGGAAATTTTAAATAAAACGCAAAATTCTTAATCTTCATCAATATTTATTTTATCTCCTTCAAAATATGCTCCATTAGAAGCGATACACAAATGCCAACGTTTCTTCCAATCATCAAAACATTATAGGCGCTTTCCGGTATGGCTTTGAGTTCCCTCTGCGAATTCTGTTTTACGTCTTCTATGGATTCAAAACGCGTTCCTCTGAGTGGTAATTTGAGGTTGGGAAACAGGAAAAAGTCACACGGTGCAAGATCAGGTGAATACGGTGGCTGTTCGATGGTATTTATTGAATGTTTGGCCTTAAAATCGTTGATAATGTTGAACAAATTGAGGTGAATCGGAACAAGCCGGGCGTTGACACGTCGCATACACAAATTGTCCACCAAAATCAAACGAGCCATCTCACGACCGATGCCTAGCTCTCGTGCTATCTCTCTAACACTCACATGAGGATTTTTGAACACGATTTCCTTTGCCTTTTCAATGTTTTCGTCGGTGGTAGAGGTCGAAGGTCGTCCAGAACGCGGCATGTCTTCGACGGTCGTACGACAGTCCTGAAAGGCTTTGTACCACTCATAAACTTGAGTTTTCGATAAAACTGATTCCCCATAAGCCTTTTGTAGCATTCGCAACGATTCTGCACACGAAATTTCGTTCGAAAAACAAAATTTGATGCAAACTCTTTGTTCAATATTTTTTTCCATTGTTTTTTTCGCAACGCACTACTGAGGTGAACTGGTTTCAACAGCTGCAGTAAACGAACTGTCTGACAGATCGCGCTCATTTTTGGCATAGTAATTAAGGACAGTGCTGCCAAACTACATAAACTTAAAATATCGAAAAATATACAGCGCGCGAATTTTAAATGAGAACCTCCGAAAACCTTTCGGTCACAATGTAAATACAATGCGTAAAGTTCTTTTACATGCGTATATCTTCCCATATTATAAATATGGTAAACCTCAATAAACTTTTGGATTTTGGTAAAAAATAGAACAGATAATACTCAGGGTGGCATCTTTATTTTTACCGTAAAACATCTGCTCTATGTTCGGTGGAATATTTTTCACAAAAAGTATTTATATTCTACATTTTAATTAGTCAACCGATTTCATTCCTGGACAACCTGATCTATCTGAATTTTTAAAAAGACAATTTCCAAGGTTACATTTGATTGTTTCAGTAACGAAGAGACTGGTTTTCTTTATCAATAGACAGACAGGTAGACGAATATCATTAAATTGATTGTGCTGGTTTATAATATATAGGTACGGTTCAAATAGTCTCTGATGTTTTTTTTTACTTTTTCACATTAATACATTTCACAAATAAAAATTATAGGACCGTATGTGCTGTTGTATTGGAGTACATGTATAAAAACGATATACCCTATAATTAATTATAAATAATTACAATTTATTTGTAAATATCAGTAAATTTGGTAAATTATTATAAAAACATAAATAAGATATAAACACATCCCGTATATTTACAAATATTTGTAGGGTGTAGCAAGGTCATGGGTCATTAATATATAAGAGGATTATATTCCCTAGTTAGTAAAATATAAAAACGTCTTTAAGAAATTAAAATAAGCAATATTGGACTTTAAAAATTACTTCACGTAACATAGGTAGCATTATATTTGATTTATTGAATTTTCTTTGTTTTATTCGGGTATAATATTATTTTATTATACAGGTTTAATATATTCAAGTTTTATTCTTCAAGGAATAAGATAACCTATAATAATTTTTTTTTATATAAAGTAGCAAATATTTAAAGTAGTATCTAGCTACTTGAATTTTGCCCTTGAATTATTGAATATTTGAGGAATTATAGTGTTATACCCTAATACAGTTATACTAATGGAATATGGTATATAATGATAGGTATAATGGAAATATAACATTGAAACAAATTTTTTTATTTTAATAATTCGGATATTTTATTGGATTATTTTAGATAGTTATTATTATAGTATTCACTTAATACGACATAAGATGTAAGAGAAGAGGCTATTTAATCGTAGAGCAGACTGGCGCAGATAGGAGTTTTGCTATCAGAAGGATTGATTCATCATTATAATATTTTTTAATAAAAAAGCAGACTTTTAATTTGTTACAGGTTGTAAGGTAGTACAATATTCGACTTAATTTATTTAATATATAGTTATTACCAAATTGCTTAAAATAAGATAAGATATCAAGATATGTTATAAATTAACTTTTTATTTTCAACTATATATATTAAATAATTTTAATGAGACAAATGGTCACTTAACCATATATAATTTTAGTTGAACTATCCCACATGTTAGGATTTACTGCGGGTCGCACTAGGCAAAAGTCGCGACCTATTAATTTATAACCAATAATTACTTCTTCAAACAATATTTTCTATGCGTTGATTAATTCTCGACATATACATTCTCATATATAATATATTTAAATTTTATAGCTTCCTAAATTTCATTTTTTTTATTGAAATTATTAATTTGTTTTTATTAAATGAATATTTTATTAAACTTTTCTTTTTATTATTATTGAGATATTATATTTCGAGTTATATCGAGATATTATATCTCAAAATAATTGTTTGGTTACCATCTGGAATTCTCATTGGTCTTTTTATCAGCTATTGAAACGTCTTCTAATTAAATATTGCTGTTATCACTTAATTAATTTATCTAATATTAACATATTTAATTTAAATTTATACCGTTTATTTAATATAAATTAGATAAATTCATTAGTTGATAAGATTTCATCAATTTATATATATATAATTTGTTTGTATATATTATACAATTCATATACAATATTTGTATAATATATATTTGATAAGCTTTGTTAATCAATATAGTTGAAGTCGTTGTATAGGTCGTGGATTGATATTCGCATATTAAATAACGACTTTTTTTATTGTATTCGGATGCTAAGCTGCTTTAAGATCCAAGTTCTACTTCAATTACTGATCGATCCTTAAATATTTTTGACCCTGAATTTAATATTAATATTAAGTATCGTGATATGTGAAGATTTTATTATAAAATTTCTACGAATTGAGCTTACGGGTTACTTGCCTCGGATTGCGTTACATATTGTAGTAGAATAAGGTCTCGATTAGGAATATGTAGAATAATAGTATAATCGAATTGTATATAATAGAATAATAGTAGACGTTAAATATGAAGAAGAAATCTTTTTTAAATTATTATCATACATTTTGTAAAAGCTGAAGCAGAGGTTCTCAAACTTTTCTCATGGAGTACCTTTGAAATTGAACATTTTATGCAGATCAATAAATTATATCTAACACCTATTGTATGGTGTAGCACAGTTCCGTGGCGCACAGTATGAGAAATTTCGAACGAGAGAACTCTGATAAAAAATTGATATAACATAGAAAAGTAAGCTACGTGTTTTTAGTGGATTACTATAAATATCTTTATTAAATGATGAACTTAGTGATGAATGATGAAAACCTTACGACAGGAACATTCCATATAGGCGGATATTTCATATATTCGGATACTGTCAGTGATTCCATTGCATATGTGGTTCCGTTTGATATTCGATCAGGTTATCTTCAGCTAAGACGTCAAGAGAAATCGTAAGTGACAGGGTCTCACCAAATTAATTTCTTGTGTGGACCTTGGAGACGGCTGAGTTTAACCTCAGCTATGTACAAACCTAAGAAAAAGTTCATTACAAGGATATTTCATATATTTAATTATAACATTTGCAGGTCTAACATTTGTTGGCGTAAGTAATTATATTAATTTGAGTTTAGATCTAAAAATGTTGACTCAAGTATTGTCTTAAGTATTAAAAAAATACAGTGTGTGTGTGTGTGGTAATAAAAAGTTTTTTCAAATCTAGTCCTGTTATAAGATATAACTTAAAACAATGTCTTTATAAAAAACATTCGAGAGTAAAAAAAGTGGTCCCAATGTTTTTATTAAATATATTTAATAATTGATAAGAAGTACGTGTCAGCTATATATAATGGGTTTATATAGTTGTGCTTGTATAAGCGAACGTGTCATTTGTTGCGATTACTTTTACCAAAATTTTAAGTACTTGTGTACTGGAAAGTATTTATACATATGATGTGTATAGAAAAACCAATTGATATGTTAAAACCTATATTAAGCATAGGTATAACCAATATTGACTAGGTTAGCTGATATAAAAATATATTTTAAATTCAGTGACACTGAAGAAAAATTAATAATTGACAGTGATTTGCGATAATCTCGGCAAAAACAAAAAGATATTGATAATAAATTAAAAGTCACAATAATTTTAAAAAGTGTATATAAAGAACACACGGAGGGTTCGAGTGAGGTATTTTGAAAGTGAATTTTGACTTTGAAGGTATTCAACATGAAATTCTTTGTTTTCGCCTTTATTGCCAGTCTTTGTCTGGTTGCTGTCAGCGTAAGTATTTAATTAGAATAAAATATTTCAATAAAAATAAGATATTATATATACGAGTATATTATATACAAGTTTTATATACATTCATTTTAAATAAAAATGTTTGCATTAAGATTTAAAAATTTTTATTTTTTAAAATAGAGTAGCGCCGTTGGTTTTGAAGAACCCGATGAAATCGAACTTTTCGTACAAGATAGAACATTTTTGGGTGCAGTCAAAGCAGCTTTGCGTACCGTAAAGGGTTTCAATTGTCTTATTAAATGGGTACTCAATATTAAAAGTACAACACAACAATTCCTCGATGATATTGTAGCATGTGGAGGTACTGTATCTGCCCAATTACAAGCTGTCATAGACGCATGCAATGCTATAATTACCACTTGCAACAATATCATTGATGCTTGCGGTAGTGACGATGAAGGTGATGATAGTCCTAGTAAAAGCTGTACTCTGGCAGTAGTTAAGGGAATGGCCTCTTTGTACAAACAAACTAAGAATGTCATCAAATTGATCAAGAAAGTTCCAACTGTACCTGGACAATACGGTCAATGCGTTACTGATGCAACAAACAACCTTACCAGTTATTTCACCCAGTTCGTACCTAACATTAAACAATGCTCCAAATTGACTAGTTAAAATTATAAATTTTTCTATATGTGAGATAAATAAAAAAAAATTAATAAATATTACAATTCATTTACAGCAAACTTAAAAAAGCATTTATATATTTTCTTTTTTATATATTTTGTCATTTATCGTTTGTTCTTTGGAAAAAGATGTACCACTGAGTTTTCTCTTTACACAAAATATATAGTGAACTTCGATAGAACGTCAATAATCTATGCATAAAAATTAATGTTGGAATAAATATAACTACATAACATATAACTACTACTAACTACAAAAAAATAAAAGGCTCTTTTTAGAAAGAGGCTTTAACATACTTAAAATATAATTCCCCAACTACCTAACGGTACTATTGTCAAAGTACATTTAAATCTTACACTACATAACCCTTCTACTCCATACATATTATAGTCATTTTAATTCCAAAGCATCGTTCATAACAGCAATCTCAGTAGACTCAACCTTATTAAGCTTCACCGTTAGCTTAGATTTGGTTGAAGTGGCTGCCTTGTTTACTAAAGTTTATTTACCACAGATTTGTGTGGTAAATCTGTGGTAAATAGACTTTACCCAATTCTGGTGGTTAACGTAGTCTGCAGTGGTTAGCGTCTAAGTCCTTAATTTAACAGTTCTGTCAGCTTGGTAAGAAAAGAGATAGCAAAGATTTTCAATTTCCTCCGGCATTGACAATGGAGATAAAACTTAGATACTTCTAAGTTTTCAGACCCATAATCACAAAAGAAGTCATTAAAGGATAGAACGAGTCTTATCGCACGTCTTTCTAGCACGCAGTGACTCATTAGCACCGATGCCATTGTGCTGAGCAGATTCCGCTTTAGTTGTATCAGCTGTCTGGTACGTTTCTAGTTTAATTTGGACGAAGTATACCTCAAAATCTGTAAGGAATTTTAATTTGCCAATGTTTTTTTTAACTATACTCAGATATTATTATTCAAATATTCAAGAAATGAATGCCAGAAATCAGAGTGATAGTCTACCTTGCAATTACCTGAGATGTCCCTATGTTCATGTATCTATATGAGTTGAACATTGACTTGCTTGGCTAGCTCGCCAAGAGAAACCTATTATTCTCAAATTAATAACTATGTAGTTGAAGCGCTTACCAGATATTTAAGAGTACGATTTTTGTATCGGGCAACTTGTGGACAAGGATCCAATTTGGTGCATAGTGAGACGCTATTACTTCGACCTGAAGGACACTGCCGTAGTCTAGTAGTCAAAGTGTGATGCGAAGACACAATTTAAAGGAAAATATACAATTGCTTTTATTCAAAGTTTTCTTTCTAATTTTCTAAAACTATTCAAGATTCTTTATTAAAGAAATGAATTCATATATATATATATATATTTATAGCATTTTCTTTCTACTTTCAATATAAATTGTTTTACTAAGTTATCTTTTTTATGGCATCAGATTTCAAATGCTATTGTGATCTATTTCCCATATTTACATAAGACTATGGTTATAATGACTAATGACCATATTATTCAGAAAGTCATATGATGAATTATACTATATTTTTACGATCTTTGTCATATGTAAATATTTTCTTGTAAAAGTTGTAAATTTATTAGCAAACAACACTGTTTTTATTAAACTCTGAGGGCGCAAAAAGCCTCCCAATCATGACTACAGTTTAATTGATATTATTTCCTAGCTCTCATTCTAAAATGCATATTTGTTATATGACATTTATTCTATAATTTGTTACTATTCGATAATTGTTTAAAAAAATTAGTTTTAATTAATGAGTCACATTTACAAATGCCAAATGTATGATTTCGGAACATTTAAAGGAATCTATCACATAATCTTCTTGAAGTTCAGTCTGATGTACAGATAAAAATTAGTCGTTCCATTTCCTTACATCTCACTTTCGGTTTCTTCTTCCTTCTTGAACATAACACTCTTCATTTAAGTGCTATGCCATTTAGATGTTTCTAGCATGGTAGACTGTTGGGCAACTGGATTAGTTAGAATTCATGACGAATCACAAAAACAATAACAACGTTCTGTTGATATATAATATATATTCTATTTTATTTGTACTATGTTCTTATAATTTATCTTACCACAGCAAATGATTACTGCTATTAATAACTTTAAGTGTGTTGACTCGATAAATTTATTTAGAATGAAATTAATTTATTAAAATTTCTGAAATGATTTTGTTTGGAATATCTTGAATGGAATATCTTGACTGGACTCTGATTTGTGATTATCTCAACCAAATAACGAAAAACTGATAAAAAGAATTTATTAAATGCTATTGAGTATAAAAAGCTAGTGTTTTCCCTATATCATTGTAGTATTTCTACAGTTATCGTTAAAATGAAGTTCTTTACGTTCGCATTCATTGCAAGTCTTTGCTTCGTAGCTGTTTATGTATGTAATTTTGTAAATAATTTAATATCAAAATTAAATATAATTTATATTTGCAGTCAAGCTCCGCTGTTGTGGAAGAACCAATTGACATAAGTCTCGAATCGCTTGAATCCCTTGATTTCGATATTGATTTTTATGGCGAAGATAGAGGCTTTTACGGAACTCTTAAAAAGATCTTACGCGGTGTGAAAGGGTTGAATTGTCTTATTAAGGCTGTGCTGAATATACAAAATGTAACAGAAACATTCCTCACAGATGTGAAAGCATGTGGCGGTAATGTCTCCAAACAATTGAAAGCAGTTATTAGTGCTTGTAATGATATCATTAAGACCACCAATGAAATCCTAAATTTGAACGATACTATTTGTAATAATAGTGAAGACAGTCATTTGGATGAAGATGCTACAAACTCCAAGAAATGTATTGTGAAAGTCGCCAAAAAAATTGTGACCTTGAATAAGCAAATTAAGAAAGCAATAAAATTGATTAAGAAGGTCCCACAAGCTCCTGGTGATGCTGGCAAATGTGTCAATGATGCTTTGGATGAATTACAGAATTATTTCGTACAATTCAAACCAGCCGTTATTGAATGCTCCAAATTGACTAGTTAAGGTGTTAAAAAAATAAAAAAATTAAAAATGAATTGAAATAAAGAAAATGTGATGTATTGCAAATTTTAATTCTTTTTATTTAAACGCATAATTTGGGTGATAATAAAAAAAAATTATTGTTATAGTGAAAAAGAGGTGTCCGTTTAATAGAACATACCTTGTATTGAAGATAAAAAGTGGAGACTAGCAATGCTGCACGGTTTGTAAGAGCGTTCTTTTAATATAGCTTTCACTATAAATATATTCTATTATCATCATTGTTAGCTATTACAATCCGGTGTAATATATAGCTTAGCTATGACTCATAACTGTCCCGAGCCATGTCTCTATAACCTACTGTAACTCATGTAGGTCATCTAGCAATGAAGTTACTGTACACTTGGTGCCTCTTCGATGGGACCTTCAGCCTTAATTTCCACTTTTGTCAGCCATAGTCGAAAGCTGATACATGTTCTTTTTTGCTACAGGTCAACAACAATTGGGCTAATATTTCTTTAGCAGCGAGGTCTAGAGCGACCCCTGACTTAATTCATGTACTTAATTCATGGAAGTAAATCGTAAATATCTAAAGTATTATAGGTCTTAGTGACATATTGAGTTGTAGGATGACATGGAGTTAGGCTCGGACTGCCCTACAGAATCTCTTGTAGTACATATCTACTGGTGGTTGACAAAAAGATTATGGAACAGCTATTGTGTCAATGTCCTGGCTTAAGTTTTTGGGTGCAAAATTTTTATATCAATTTAATTCATAATTTAAAACCGTAAATAAAATAAATAAATAAATTTTCTAAATTTATTTAAATTTATATATATATATTTATTATTGTAATATAACAATCATAACAAATCAAAAAAAAAAAAATGAAATTATTTCTTATATAAATTAGGCATTAAAAAAAATAATAATAAATTAGCAAAATCGCAACAAGCAAATAGCAGCACCCAATCTTCTATTAACAAATACTATTTGCTCTATATTTTATATTCAAAATAGTTAAAAATTATAACATATTGCACCAAAGTTCCCATTGAAAATATTGATCATTCTGTGAAATGAATTAGCAAATTATTGATATAAATATATATAAAAAGAAATTTACACATAATAACTTAATAATTAATTAGTAAATTAAAATATTTTAATATTTTAAATATAAGCTAAAAATTAAAAAAAAATCATAATAAATTTTACAAAATGTTTGCTTAAATTAAAAAATAGTTTATAAAGTACACAAATAATCTTTTTTATATATATTCACATATAGTGATATATATGTATTGACTTATTATAAAAATAGTCAAAAAAAACATCATTTAATAAATAAACAGTTTCTTCATTATGTTTAAAACTGTCTTTAATTTTAATTCATTGCACTTCAATATATTTTTTTAAATAATACTAAATATTCGCATATTTCATAAGAGGCCCATTTGGATGATCAAAATACTCTCTAAACTAAACTCAGTCTGCTATTAGTTTTTCTTAACTGTGCTCGCCAAGGTATTATATTATCATTTGCATCGTCATCATCTTGAGATTTTTCGGTAAGTTTGTGCATATCATCTTCTATGGGCTTTTCATTGGTACCATTCATTTCAATACCACAATTATTTTCCTTATTGTTGCTCTGATAGGCTATAATGTCTGTTGTACAGGATACCATGCTGATGTTATCAATGGACATAGCACGATTTTTCAAACGCCAAGTTTCAGCTATACGATTATTCTCCTCTACTTTAGGTGTATAAATAGTGGCTCTATTATTAAAAAAAGTTTTTTTTTTTAATATATTATGTATGTAGAGTGTGTGATACTGACTTTAATTTATTTTCAGTTTCTTCGCGTCGCGCCAATAAATCACGTTTCCATTGTGGTATTTGTGAGAGACGACGACTTTCCGCTTCCTTAGCCATGCGATCCTCGAAATCTTTTTTGGCACGTTCAGCTGCTTTTTTTGCTAACATTTGTCTCTTCCAATCTGGTATAACATTACCAGATGGATCCTTGTCAGGTATCTGCATATAGATCTTTGACAACTTATGA